TGGCTCTTTTCTCAGCCTCATGTAATTTTTGAGTTCTCAAGCGGGACCCTCTCCAGACTTCTGGAGTTCTTTCTCTGTGCGTCTCACTCCTCTCTGGTACTGTGTCCTATGTACTGTAGCTGCCTTGGTCTCTCCAGACTCTCAGCTCTGTCTCCCAAACTCAGAAAGCTTGCTGGGCTCCACCTGGGTTCCTCCCCTGTGCACCATGGCCTGGAAACTCTCTCAAGGCAGTAAGCTGGGATAATTTAGAGCTTTGTATCTCAGAGACCTATGGCCTTCATTGCTTGGAGTTCAGTGTCTTAAAAACCATCATTTCATATATTTTTGTCAATTTTTTCCCCAGGAAATTCTCATGTCCTGCTCTTCGTAATTAAAAGAGGTCAAAATTACCAATAGCCAAAATGTCTCATCTCACCATCATCTCATCTCAGGCATTAGGCTGTGAGTCATCCCTGCTAGAAACTCCCCTCCTGGCCCTATGACTCTATGTGCCGGCTGACCCCTGAACCAGTGCACCCAGCCCAGGGGGGCATGTGTGGGCTGCTATCCCCAAGGAGAGCAGCCTTTTGCTAATTCACCTGATGGTTCCACATGGAATGGCAGGCTACCTGGTCTCCTCCAATCTGCCCCTTCCCCTTTTTAGCTGGCTACCCTCTCTCCTCTGGCCTTTGGGCCTTTGGCATCCAACTTGGGGGAATGGCAGCTGCCTTCGCAAGATCTTCACGGGATCTTGGACTGACACAGACTTTGCCTCAGGAACACTGGGCTATGGGCGGGAGTGAGAGCAGGCCAGACCCTCCACATGCAGCTGCTGGGGCCAAACCAAGGTTACAAAAGCTCAGAGGGCTATCCAGTGGAGGAAAGGTCCTCACCACGTTTTCCTTTTTATATAGAAATGGTACATTCAAGGCAGTTTTTGAAAATTTCTGCTTGGGTTTTTAGTTTTGGGTGTGTGTGTTTATTAGACTGAAACAAAGGGACGATGACAGATCATTGTCCAATTTCAGAGGCCTATAGCTCTTCTGTTTCCTTTAGGAATAACGTCTAAAACTTTACATTAACCCTCAAGACTAACTACACCAAACTTAAATTCTCCCTGTACTAGTCTGCTTGGGCTGCCGTAACAAAATACCACAGGCTGGGTGCGTAAGCGACAGAAATTTATTTTCTCACGGTTTCGGAATCTGGAAGTCCCAGATGAAGGTACCAGCAGCATTGGTTTCTGGTGAGCCCCTCTTCCTGGCTTGCCTTCTTGCTGTGCCCTCACGTGGCCTTTACGCCGTGTGCTTGTGGAGAGAGAGTGCTCTCTGGTCTCTCTCGCTCTTCTGATAAAGACGCCGTCCCATCAGATGAGGGTCCTGTCTTTGTGACCTCATTTAATCTTACCTACCTCCTTCAAGACTCTATCTCTGAACACAGTCACATGGGAGTTAGGGCTTCAACACAGGAATTTTGGGGATGCCCCCCAACCTCATTGAGGCTTAATCCCAACTGTTAGCTGTTGAGGGTGGGAAATCCTATTACAGTAGCTGAATGGTGGAGCCTTGAAGAGGTGATTAGATTGTAGGACCGTGCAGTAGCGAATGGGTTCATAATGATCATCGTGGGCGTGGTACTGAGGGCTCCAGAAGGAGAGCACCTGAGGAGCTGTCTCTCTGCTCTGCTCTCTCTGCTTCCAGCATCTTGCCATGTGAGACCCCAGGGTCACTGTTGCCACCACCAGATGGACTTTGGACTTTCCAGCCTCAGAAACTGTAAGCAATACATTTCGTTTTCTCTATAAATCACCCAGTTTTGAGTATTTTGTTATAAGCAACAGAAACAGATCAAAACAGGGGGACACAATTCGGTGCATAACATTCCCCCCAACAAACACCTGAGCAGCAGGATCATCATTCGCTTTGCCTGGCACAAATGCTGACTTCAGCCTGGGTTCCCCTGCTTCATTTTCATTCTCTCAGGATGACAGGGGACCGTCTGGGACTTCGAGTGGGAGGTCACTGCAAGTGAGCAGTTCCTCCAGACAAGCCTGATTAGGCCCCTCATTTCGAACCCCCAGGGAGCTGGTCCTGGCAAAGCAACCACAGCTGCTGGTGCCCCAGGCCCAAGTCAGGACATCCAGTCATAGGAAAAAGCCACTGTCACCAGGAATTTCTCAAGTCATGCAGCACAAGCTTGCCCATGCCTAGATCTCTCCCTTCTTCTGCACATGTCCCTGTCCCCATTCCTCCTCTTCAAACACATCCCTGTCCCAGCCAGCCTGGCCTCCTTGCTCTCTGTCCCCGTGGCCACCTCTGTATTATGGGCAGTATCAGGAGGCACTACAGCCTGGCAGGTGTTCCAGACTTAACTGCACATGAGGATCACCTGGGGAGCTTTCAAAACCCCCAGTGTCCAGCTTGAACCCCATATGGATTAAATCAGAGTGTCTGGGGGTGGGAGCCGGACATCAGGACTTCTACTGGCAGACTAGGTTTTGAACCCTGGCTTCATCACTTACCAGGCAAGTTACTTAACCCATAATGAAGGTAACAGTAGCAGTAGTTCCTTTCTCATAAGATTGCAGTAAGGATTAGATGAGTTAATACATGTGAGGAGCCTAGAACAGTGCCTGACAGGTAAGGTACGAGCTTTCAGTGTTGACTGTTATTATTAGCAGGTGTGCCCTAAAGGAAATCAACACCTTACAGAGGAAAATCCTCTACTAACTCAGGAATTCACACAAAGGAATCAGTACACTAACTCCCCTAAATGTGAAAGGGAAAAGAGCAAGCTGACATTTATCAAGTACCGGCTTGGTGCAAAGCAGCGTTGTCTTATTTAATCTTTACAATAATCCCTCAAGATTGATATTATTATAATCATTTTACAAAAGAATAAACTAAGGCTGGAAGAGATTAACGCAGGTTAATCTAGTGATGGAGTTGGGATTTATAAACAGGTCTTTCTCCCTCCAAAACTCATGCCCTTTGTTATAAAAAGTGCTTTGACAAAAAAAA